ATAGTCTTGGACTTTACTAGGAGGGTTAGTTAGACGGTCTAGGGAGTCATACAACCGAGGATAGCGTTCGCCGGTCGGGCAACGCGGGATAGGACTACGGTTCGAGTCTTATCGGGGTGAACGTTCTAACACGTTTACCAAGTGTTTCAGGTAGGGATGAGCTGATCGGTGGCGGGATAAGGCGACGAGGCCACGAGGAGTCATCGACGGGAGCTTCATCAAGTTCAAAGGCAGCGACATACGACTAACTCCGACATCAGGTAAGTGAGGTAAGTCAGGTAAGTTGTATTTTAAATTCCGACGAAAGTCGAGGGATCGACGAAAGTCGATCGGTGCTGGAAACGGCGAACCCCACTAGATTCATTTTTTTTCGGTTTCCCTTTCTCCACCAAGGTGGAGATTGTTGGGCCTTAAGGGCCCATTTGGTGAAAAAGAGAATCCTCCAAACCGAAGGGAGGTTTCGGTCACTTAATTGAAACGGAGCGTTTCAACATGTTAGGGTTTTTCAACCCTAGTCTCTCGATACTTCGTCACTTTGAGCAGCAGAGAAGAAAAGAAGAGGAGAGAGGAGAAGAGGGCTTGCGGCGAGCGTACGGTGGAGCCGTTTCGGAGGTCCGTCATGGAGGCTCGGTGGTAGATCGGTAAGATCCCGGTACAGGTTTGCATCCCTCGGTGATTTCTCTTGTTCTTGTTTCGGTTCTTCTCGGTGAGGTTCCGGATCTGTGGAGATCCGCCGAGCTTCTGTTTCCCGCTGTTCTCTTTCCGTCTCTAGTGGATTCGCCGGCACCGTCCGGCCGAGATGTAGGCCCGAGCTTGCTCGGTAACCGAACTCGTTAAAAGTCTCCGGTGTCTTTCGATTCTTGCACGAACGAGTGACTGAGAGACGGCGAGGACTCGATACCACCTTCACAAAGTGTGTATATATATATATGCGTGATTCAAATGAGAGGGTAATTATACACAAGACACACACACACGTGTATGAATGTGTGTGAATGTATATTACATGTATGTATGAGTGTATGCTTTTAAATGAGAGATTGCATACACACGCACACACACCACACATACGAGTGAGAGTACGTGTGTATTTATGAATGTATATTAAATGTATGTAGGATTTATATGAGAGGTTATATACACGCACACACGTGCACGTGTGTGTGTGGGTTTTTGTGAATGTATGAATGGTTAAAGATGAAGATATATATATATATATATATATATGTGTGTGTGTGTGATTTAATTGATATTATACATTAACACACTTGTATCTGCCTTATCAAAAAAAAAAAAATACACACTTGTATCTGTGTGTGTGTGAATGTATATATATGTATGATTTAAGAGAGAGATTATAGACACGTGATGTGTGTGTGAATGTATATAATATGAACAGCTTTATTTTTGTGTGTGAATACTTCATCTATAACAAATTGCTCCGCGTACGGAACAGTTAATGTGAATAGAAATTGTTAGCAACAAATGAAAGCATTCATAGGTATATACATTTTTTTAAGAGGTATATTTCTTTCAAAATAACAATTAATGGAAAAATGTAGCAATCTCATGATGATAAGCCGGTGAGCTTTCATATTGATTTTGAGTTGGAAAATCCAGTCTCTCACTTGAATAACTATATTTTTAAAATTTGGGATTTCCTATGAGATTAAACCGAAAAGAAAAAGTATTATATCTATTTTAGTTTAAATCGATAAACTATGTTGTTTTTTCTTGAATTTGAAATTGTAAATGTTACAACCAATAATCTTTATTGTGAAAAAAAAAGGGGATCACTCATATGCATGCATGCGTGTTGCATTTCGAAGAGATGTAAAGTTAATTTGTGCAACGAACAAATAAATTTGGTTTCCGTCATGTGAATTCATTCCATCTCACTGACACATTGAAACCACACGTTTTGGTCTCCGTCAAGTACATGCGAGTTAAATTTTGGTTTTCATTTTAAAAAATAAAAATATGAAAGGAATGATTATAATAAAGAAACGGATTACATCAAATGAAAATCTTACATATCTGTATAATCTAAAATTTAAATTCTCTTTATTTAAATGTGTATGTTCCCTCATATATATGTTATAATTTTCTTCGTGCGTGCGTACATATATGGTCCGCATATTTTTTTTGTTGTGTATTATATATATATAGTACCTTTTGTTATATTCTTAACATTTGTTTGGCTATTTGAAGACTACGAAAGGTCAAACATTTCATATCTTAAATTTCAGATGATGTCTGTCTCTTCGTGAGGTTATGATAAATTAATGTTGCGATTGTTGCAATGAAGGTTAAAAGGACACACACACACATATATATCACTACAAGAAAAACTGAAATTTGCGACACCTGTTGCGACCGAATTTTTAGTCGCAACCTATTTGCGACAGACCGCGACTAAAAAGCGACACAATCACGGAAAAATATCTCTGTCGGTTTTGGACGCAAAACCTGTCGCAAATTTCCGACCGTTTGCGACCGTTATATCTGTCGCACATACTTGCGACCGAAATACGACGGAACACGACAGATAATTTACGACAGATGGTCTGTCGGTATGTACCGACACAGTATGCGACAGATATGTTCGGTCGGGCTCCGTGTACGACACATTTGCGACAGATTTTATGCGTCGCTGAGTATTGCGACCGATATGCGAAACACTTTAGGTGTCGCTCAATAATTGCGACTGACTTGCGACTCACCGAATGTGTCGCAAAAAACACTTTAGGTGTCGCTCAATAATTGCGACTGACTTGCGACTCACCGAATGTGTCGCAAAAGGGGTTACTCTGTTTTTAAAGATGTAGAGAACTCAACTCATCTATGGAGGCAATGCTTACTTACTCCCGTTTGCGTCATGATAGGGATGTGACAACATGCAGCAGTGGCCAAGGTCCCTAACATATATCCACATGTTGTTTTACTTGCAGCATTTTATGATTGTTCCCGCTGTGTTATTCAGATGCAAGTCGTTGGTATCTGGCCGCGTATTCTGAAACACTTCAAACTCTCGTCCTCGTTTATTGTTTAGATTGTTCTGTCTACATCATCTCGTCGGTTAATCTGGCAAGTAATGCATCAGATCATCGTTCACTAGGTATGATGGGAGTCTTGCTCTTGAGATCAAGAATAAAGGAATGAATCTCGCTCTTTCTTCACACTTTTAATAATTTACATGCATCTTTGTGAATGATTTTTTATTTATGAAATGTTATATTGTGGCAAGACATGCAAAGGATAGTTATTGCATGTCCTAGAACAACTGCTTCCGGTATCAACAGCAGGGTTCTTCTCTTTCTTTTCTATCAACGCTTTGCGGGTGCGTCTTGAATCATACGCAGACCCTTTTCTTGCTTTACGCTTTGATGTTGAAGTTTGTATCGAAATATTTGAAATATAAATCTGCGTTTTTTTTTATATTTTCAAAAAAAAATTGTGTATTTTTTTGAGATTCTTCATATAATATACTATTAGATTTTGCTTTCAATGATTATTGGAAAGAGGTACAGGAGAGATTTTTTTTTTTATTGATCCGAGAAATGTTTACAACTATTTAGGATAATCGAGTGTGGGCTATGGGCCATCATCCAATTGGAAGACTGGAAGTCGCAGATCAGAATCGTTCTGCCTCAGATTTTGTTCTCCGCTTTTTTTCTGTCGTCGTTTTCAGATCCAGCAGTTCTCTCTCTTACTGGTAGAGATTGAGATGGGGGTTTGGTCATAGTGATGTCCCATGATGTTGTCGACTATTGTTTGTTTGGTTGGAGCTTCAAAAAGAGACTTGTCGTTGGGCTTTTCATTCGGGGTTTGGGCCATTTGAGCTTAGGGTTGTTTTCCGCAGTTCACGACAAATCAGAATCGCAAATCTCCCAGAGTTCTGATTCTCAATCTGTCTTCGTGCTGAAACTCAGATGTCGGCGATGCTTCGGAGAATGGCTCCTGCTTCTACTTCAGGTTTTGTTCACTCTCATCTCTCCTCTTGTCTCTGCCGTCGTCTTAGGTTCAGCAGTTCTGTCTCTTATAGGGAGAGATTGAGGTCTGGGTTTGGTAATAGTAATGTGAAAGATGCTGTTGATGTATTCGACCAGATGGTTCGATCTCGTCCCCTCCCTTCCATTGTTGATTTCAGTAAATTACTAAGTGCAGTTGCCAAGATGAAACGGTATGATATCGTGATTTCTCTTTGCAAGAGGATGGAATTACACGGGGTTTCACATGGCAACTACAGTCTGAATATTCTTATCAACTGTTTCTGCCGCTCACGTCAAGTGGGTTTGGGATTTTCTGTTTTGGGGAAGATCATGAAAATTGGTTATGAGCCAAACGTAATCACATTTAACACTCTCATCAATGGATTATGTATAGAGGGTAAGCTTTCCACGGCATTAAGCTTGGTCGAACGAATGGTAAAGGATGGATACACTCCTGATGTCGTGACATGTACCACCATTGTCAACGGACTTTGTCTCCAAGGTAGAATCCACGAGGCCGTCGTTTTAGTTGATCAGATGCCAAAGAAAGGCCATCAGCCCAATGTAATCACTTATGGTGCTATTTTAAATGGCATTTGCAAGTCAGGAGATTCCGCTCTAGCTTTAAATTTTCTCATCAAGATGGAGGAAAGGCATGTTGAGGTCAACGTCGTAGTTTATAATACGATTATAGATTGTCTTTGCAAAGGTGGACGTGTAGACGATGCGATTAACCTTTTCAAAAAGATGGATGATCGAGGAGTTGAGCCAGATGTTGTTACATACAACACTTTGATAAACAATCTTGGTTGTTACGGTAGATGGACTGATGTCGCACGATTATTGAATGATATGATCAAAAGGAATATCACTCCTAATGTTGTCACTTTCACCGGATTAATTGATAATTTTGTCAAAGAGGGGAAGTTTCTAGAAGCCAGAGAACTTTACGAGCAGATGGTCCAGAGAGGTCTGGTTCCGGATACTATCACTTATAATTCGTTGATTGATGGACTCTGCATGCAGAATCGCCTTGATGAGGCGAAAAAAATGTTTGATTCTATGGCTAACAAGGGAAGTCCTCCAGATGTAGTGACTTTTAACGCTCTCATAAATGGATACTGCAAGTACGGCAGGGTTGACCAGGGTATGAAACTCTTTAGTGAGATGTTTCAAAGAGGAGTTGTTGTTGATACATGTATTTATAATTCTCTCATCCAAGGGTTTTTTCGAGCAGGCAATCTTGATGCTGCCCGAAAACTTTTCCTAGAGATGCATTGTCAGGGTCAATATCCTGACCTTGTAACTTTCAATGTCCTGTTTGATGGGCTATGCAAGAATGGAAAGCTAGAAGAGGCATTGTGTTTATACAACAAGATGGAAAAGAGTGGGATGGACCTCGATATAATCGCACATAATATAATCATTCATGGCTTGTGTATGGATGATAGGGTTGAGGACGCGTTGCGATTGTTTAATGGGCTTTTGGATAGAGGGGTGGAACCAAATGTGAAAACATATACTGCAATGATTTCGGGACTTTGTAGAAAAGGTTTACTGGATGAAGCCGAAAAGCTATTTAGAGAGATGGAAGTGGCTGGTTGTCTGCCAGATGATCGCGCATACAATGCGTTGATTCAGGGTCATCTCAGGAATGGATATACATCTAAGGGTATCGAGCTTGTACGTGAAATGCGTAGCTGTGGGTTCTCTGCGGATGCATCGACCACAGAGATTATTGTAGATATGATATGCGATGGAAGATTGGATAAGAAGTTTATGGATTCTCGTCCATAGTTGTTTGGTCTTAGCAGTAGGATCTTGGTCTGTGTAACGGCATATCATTTGAACAACAGGTTGGTCTTTCTTTCTTGTGATTGGCATGTTTATGTGTTGCGTGTCAGTTTGGGAGTTCGTTCTTATCTGCTTTTTTTTGTTTTTTCCTGTGGATGGTTTTGTTCTTTAGGAGCGATGCCTGCAAGTGAATTGGAGACTTACCAGGCGATTGGATCCTTCTTCTTGGTAAGGAACAATTGCTATATGATTGTTTTTGAATTCTCTTTCATAATGGTTTCTGTAATGATCCCTCCTCTGTTTGGTAAGGAGAAATCGCTGTTCTTCTTACTACTAATGTTCTTATAAATTGTCATTAATATTTCGGATATTTTTGAATCGATCGTCGTGTAATCATCCAAACAAAACCCTTTTTTTGGTTTGTATTACTCAAATGAAAGTCGTTTACAGAAGATAATGTACAGACCTAACATCAAGGAGTTAACCATACATAACATACACTCGCAGAGCGAGAAACGAAACCCTTCAAAAGGGCCTCAGCCGTGCATTCGTCTCCTTCCACGGCCTGGGCGATGGTAGTTCTTCATCGGGATCGATCATGCGTAGGATTACGGAGCCAACGGCTGCAGGCCGAGCCATGGTAGTCTAGGGCCGATTGGGCTAATGTACTCCTTCATCTTGATTATCTAAAAATTTACATATATATGTGTATATATACATGTGTATATGTATATATATATATATTTATAATTGTGTGTGTGATAAACATTGAGAAATAGAAATTTAGAAAATAATGAAATTTGATCCGAACCAAATTAAAACTAATAAAAAAAATAGAATAGATATAGTTTTTAAAAATTTGAAAAACTCTAAACTCCAAATTAATCAAATCCAAAAGTGACATAAAATCGGAATCATCTAACCATAATTAATACAAATATACGGAACCCATACAATTATGTGAAAATGAAATTACACAAAACCGGTTTACTATCGTATATTTAACTGTGTAAAGGGGTCGTCCTTTCGGGTACGGTTTGATTACATCCGGTTTTGATTATAGAAAAACTGTAACAATTCGGTTTTTACATTGATTTCGATTCTGTTCGGATTTGTTTTTTAATGGTAAAAACTCATCAATTTTTTCATTTTTTTTTTTGGTTTGGTCTCGGTTTTGATTTTTTTTCGAATTTAAATAAGTTATAACCGTTCGGTTTTTATGTCAAATTCGGTTATATTACAATTATAGTTTATTTGATTTGATTATTCGGTTAATAACCAAAATGACGATCTCACCTCATTTAAATTGTTGTTGTTTACAACAATATTATTAGTAGTGCAATATTAAATAATGAAAATTTTAATTATTTTTTTAGTAGGCAGAATTTTAAAATTAATTAGATTTAAGATTATGATTAAATTATAGTAAAAACACGATAAAATTAGTTTGTAGTGTTAGGCTACCTAACGGCCCAAATGAGTGCGACGGCGTAATATCCGTTCCACAAATGCCCGAAAACATTATAAAATTTATCGAATAAATATCAAAGTGAAATGTCACATTTGCCTAACATTTTTGTCATAGATTTATCTGAATTCTTTCTTCCATTTATATCGTTTCTTGAATATAGAGAAAATAAAGAATGATAATGGATTAAATTAAAAAAATAGATTGTTTTAGGTTCAAAATAATTTATCGACGTAAAAAAATAATGGATTAAATTAAAGTTATATGTATCGTATTTCCTTTGAAACAATTGTATGATTTAGATGGGAGATTAGTTGGGATCTGTTCCTAATTGGGGTTTACTTTGGACTGTTTGCGTTTTCTCGGGTTATTTTGATTTTCAGATTTTGTTTCGGTTGTTTCGTTTTTAAAGTTTGTTTTACATTATTCGAGTTCTAAATTATTTATTTCAAGATAAAATTACTATTTTATTATTATACAATATTATTTAGATCATGTTTGAAATGAATACAAGCTGAAAGGAAAAAAAAAAAAAACAAAAAGTGAGATGAATATGTAAAATCCACAAGCAGAAAGAAAGTCCAAGGTGGATAAAACTTTATCACCAAATATGTTATATATTGCAAAAAATATCTATGGCCCGACCCTCCATTATGTTATATAAGTATATACCACGTAAAAAGGCAACCACGCAGAAAGTGGCCATCTTTTTCATGCTTAAATATAAGATATATTACAATGGATATATATATATATATATATATATATGCAAGTAAATATTTTCTCGGAAAAATTCGTGTGATTATAAAATAATTAATGGATTAAAAAGAACAAGCGATAACTTTTTATTGGTTTATTTCAAAATTTTATATATGATATTTATATTTTTTTTACAAACGGTAAATTATTTCTTTTATATGTAAAATCTTAATTCAATAACACTTTTCTCTTTCTATCTTAAATATGATTTTATTTGCTACCATAAGCTCGAGCAGTTGGGATTCTAAATCTAAAAATTAAACAGTTTATCCACCCAATGATTATTTGTTTATATTTGTTCCAATTTAGTTTGGTACTAAAAACGAATTATGAGTGGTGGAAGGAGAACATTAATTCTGTAAAATCTTAATGTGACATTTCATTTAAAGATATGATCTATAAATATTTATTTATATGACAAAAAATCTTCAGATTATATTCTTTATGATTAAGAGAAATGATATTTTCATGTGAAATGTATTTCTTTCCAGATTACTTCACAGCAATACCGATTCACCCATTTAATAATTTCTTTCTTTTTTTTTATGTTGTATTTTTGTATCACTTGGCTGTCTTTATATACCTAACATTAGGTGGATCTCTTTTTATTATTGGCCTCGATTAAAAAAAAAAGAATTAGATAAGTAAAAATATTTTATAGATTAGATGAAGCAGCTTTTGTCCACATCAGAAAAATACTAACCAACCTAAATTTTGGTAATTAGATTCGCTTTAATTGATAATTGGAAGATTTTTTTTTCTTATGAAGGGAATCTTTTGTATGTTATGAATATTTTATTTGAAATAGTAATTATTTTTTAAGGCAACTATATAGTCCCATTTACCTTCTAATTACATTTAAACGTTGGCATTGGCACGAATCACGATTCCTTTGGTCACATGGAATTTGACGTTATTTAATCATCTTTTTATTTACAACGTGAGTATATTATATAATAGTGCCCAAAACAAATTGATGGATTAGGAAATTTAAGCCTTTCGGATTATAAGTAGACCCTTTAAATGATTCAAATAAATCAGATAATTTAAATTTAAATACATATAAATATGTGAAAAGGGTAACTGAGTTTTTGCACGATGCGATATTATTGTTTTTTTTAATCACCCTCTCGGTCTGTTCCCTCTCAATAAATGGAATATTGCAACTTGAAATGGAAATTAATAAAATGATATCTATTCTTTAATAGTTAGAAGTATGGGTGAAATTTTTCAGTTTTTTTTCCAATTATGTTTGGATTTTTTTTCTATTTTTTACTACATTTTTTATAAGTTTCAATTTAATTTAGATTTTATTCAAATTGGATTATTATCTTTTTTTTGGATAATCTAATATATTGAATCGAAATATAGACTACTCTAGAGATGAAAACAAATCATGTGATTAGAATATACACTTTTCTCTCCAATTTGAGGTTTGAAGTAGAAACAAAATAAACGTTTATATTGCTATTTTACCGGTTGATTTATCCAAATTAGATCATTGAGTTATTATCTTCAATGGAATAAAAATAATAATTAACATGTTATAAATATTTTTACAAAAAAAATATATGTTATAAATAGAGTAATTGTATTCCGATTTGATTTTGAATATATCACCGTAAATATCTATCATAATCAATATAAAATTAAATAAATCAAGATTGAACGGCTCAACCAATACGAAAGGGAGCAAATCTCTTTCTCAATAACATTGGAGTCTTCACTTGGAAGAAGAATTCACATGGACTTTCTTGATTTTTTGGAAAATATAATCGGACGAAAAACCCAATAAATTTCTAGAATATCAAAAAAAAAAAAATAACTATCATAATCACCATAAAACGACTCTTAAAAAGTATAATATATATATATATATATATATGACCAAAATCAACTACCGATGTCCCCCATCGGCCCATCTTATTGTCTTTTCCTTTAAATCCGATTATAGGCCAGCTCGTGTCATAATTACATCATCTTGTCTATGTTCAGTGATTCATATTGTACTTTTAAAAAAATCTGTTATAAATTTAAGTTTAAAATTTTATCAGAAATAATTTAATTTAGCAGTTTCCGAATCTGTATTTGGATATGATCTCCAACTCATACCAACAAAAAAAAAACAATAAATAAAATATCCGCGTTATTTCCGTAAGTGCTAATGACTTTTCCTTTAAAATGAAAATAAAACGTAACATTGAAAATGGATAACGAGGAGGTTAGGACAACGAATGTCCCCCCATGTTTTTTTTCTTTTCAAATCATTATTTTTTTAAAACCCTGAAATTTAAAATTCTTCATATTTTTTAATTTTCTAACTTTTGTATGGCAATAAATTCTTACCAAAGAATAATAATAATAAAATAGATTATGTATTGCGCTTTACCCAATCCATTTGACTCGATCTCTTCGTCTTCATTTTTTTTTATCTCTCGTGTTACTGTCACTTGTTTGCAAGAAAGAAACATTTCAAAGGAAAAGAAAAAACACAGACATCTTCGATTTCAGGTTGCTGGAATTCAGATCACCTGCTTTGAATTAGTCATAACCCTAAAAACCCTATTCTCTTCCCGAAATTTTCAGAGCTCGACAAGCAGTCTTCGCTCTCTGTTCCGGTTTTCTATTTTTCGGATTTGTCCATTTTATTCAACTGGAGGGAGGGGGAGAGAGAGCTTGGATTTGTTGATTTTTTTTCTTGCGGGGGCCTGATGAAATGCGAAGCGGCCGGACATTTTTCTGGGTCTGACCGGATCGGGAAGTCGCCGGAGATTTGATGGAAGTGAAGCTGTTAATGCCAGCTTCTCTTGGAATTTCATGGAGGTCGTAGTCCGCTGCTGTCCATGTTCTAGACCCTCTATTAATCTCAATCCTCAACTCAGATTCGCCGCTGGTCTCTTGATTTCCTGGGTAAGCTCTTCTCTGAACCGTTGATTTCTGTTTCATGGCGGATTTAGGGTTTTCGGTACTACCCTAGAGTGGGATTTCCTCTCCATTTCCCGCGGATTCGCTTGGTTCTGAAATGTTGATTGCGGCCTCTGCTTGTTTCCCGTAAAATCGCTGGAGAGTAGCTGGGATTTTTGAGGTTTTGTTGCCGTCAATTTTAACCTCTGTTAGGCTGGAAAATTTTTCTGGGGAGGTTTACGACTGAGACTTTTCCTATTATTTTCCCGAGAAACAGACTGCGTTTGGGTTCAATTTTGCTTGTGCAGGCTTAGAGAAAACTTGTGTTTTCCTCGTTACTCCTTTAGATCTATGTTCTTTTTCTCCATTGTACAGTCTCGCTTCCTAGAAATGGCCTCATAATCTTTGTGAGAAAGCTTGTGGCCCATTTTTTTGTCTCCTTTATGAACCCTCACAGATGAGGATTTTAACTGCAGTAGGGAAGACCCTGGGTTGAGCCTTGTGTCTTGTTAATTTGCCTTAGGGTTCGAATTGTTTTGTTTTGAGCTTACTACTCATTATGACCAGTAAGTTTGGTCAAGGATTAGCTTGGAAACTTACTGCAACCAATGATCATTTTAGGCTTAATAGCATGGCTATGATGGTTCTGCTGCACAACTGCAACATTTATTTATATATTTTTGCAGACTCTTTTCAGTTTATGCAAAGCCCATTCTGGGGACAAATCTAAATATCTTTAGCTAAGATGAGCACTTCCATGGGATTCTTTTGTTTCAGATTGTGTTGATTCTGTTGTGGTCGGAAGCTGTTGATGCAAAAGCCAGGCACCGTCACATACCTTTGCAAGGTGTGAAAGGTGGAAGTGATGGTATCACCTCTCATTCATGTATCCATGACCAGATAATTGAACAGAGAAAGAGACCAGGTCGAAAAGTATACTCAGTTACTCCCCAGGTCTATCATGAGTCAAGAGGTGCAGCAAAACTCTCTCATCGCAAAGGAAGGGCATTGCTAGGGATTTCTGAAGAGCAGAAAGGTGCTAAGCAGCCTATAAGGATATATTTAAATTATGATGCCGTTGGGCACTCATCCGACAGAGATTGTCAAACGGTTGGTGATATCGTGAAGGTGGGTATTCTTGGTAGCTTGAGCCTGTGAACCATGAAACTCCTTCCATCACTGCTCTGACCAATTTTTGCTGCTCTCTCTATCTTGATTGTCCTCCCTTTGTTTAGCTTGGTGAGCCACCTTCAAGCGGTGTCCCGGGCTTTCCTGCATGTAATCCTCATGGTGAACCTCCGGTTTTTGGTGATTGCTGGTATAACTGCACTCTTGATGACATATCTGAGGAGGACAAGAGGCATCGTCTTAGGAAGGTCTCTCTTTCATCTGTTGCATCTTACATAGATGCATTTGTGAGCTTTACTGGTCAAATAGATGCACTGAAATATAATCTTGTGTGTGAAGGCTTTGGAGCAGACAGCAGGTTGGTTCATGAGAGCCTTAGCTGTTGAACCTGTGAAAGGGAACTTGCGCTTGAGTGGATACTCTGCATGTGGCCAAGATGGAGGTGTGCAGCTTCCTCGTGATTATGTCGAAGGTAATGTCGTTAGATTTTTGTATCCTGTTGGGCAATATCTTGTTCATTATTTTGGCCTCGCTAGCTTTTCTCTTAAGCAATTAGATTATTTCTGCATTCTGCAGAGGGTGTTGCTGATGCTGATTTAGTTCTTCTGGTGACCACAAGACCTACTACTGGTAATACCCTTGCATGGGCAGTCGCTTGTGAGCGGGATCAATGGGGACGTGCAGTTGCTGGTAATCATCTAATTCCATTCGGTTGCTTAGAATGTTATGAATATGCTGCATTGACACTGAAGCTAAGAGTGATCTTTTATAGGGCATGTCAATGTTGCCCCCCGGCATTTGACTGCTGAAGCTGAGACTTTACTATCAGCTACTCTTATTCATGAGGTTATGCATGTCCTTGGCTTTGACCCGCATGCGTTTGCCCATTTTAGAGATGAGAGGAAAAGGAGGCGAACTCAGGTACAAAATGGAAATTAAATTGAGTGCTGCAAGTCCATGGACAAAACATATACAATAGGCGAAGGTAATAATGCTGCTGTACCATCTAATCAGCCATTATCGATTTTTGTAGGTCACCACTCAAGGAATGGATGATAGGCTTGGGCGACCAGTGACACGGGTTGTTCTTCCCAGGGTTGTCATGCATTCACGGCATCATTATGGAGTGAGTTCGAGACTTCTTCTATCTTGGAGATTCAAGTTTCTTTGCTACTGTAATGCCTGCGAACCTTATTTTTGCATTCTGAGGTCATATGGGTGTGAAATACTTAACTGAACAGGCATTTTCTGAGAATTTCACCGGCCTAGAGCTTGAAGATGGGGGAGGACGTGGCACATCTGGGTCTCATTGGGAAAAAAGACTTCTCATGAATGAGATTATGACGGGTTCAGTGGATACCAGATCAGTTGTTTCAACAATGACTCTAGCGCTACTGGAGGATAGTGGTTGGTATAAGGCTAATTATAGCATGGCAGACCATCTTGATTGGGGCCGAAACCAGGGAACTCAGTTTGTCACATCTCCATGCAACATGTGGAAAGGTGCTTACCATTGCAACACGACCCAGTTATCTGGCTGTACATATAACAGAGAAGCTGAAGGTTACTGTCCAATTGTAAGCTATAATGGAGACTTGCCTCAATGGGCTCGCTACTTTCCCCAGGCAAACAAAGGTTAGTATTTTTGGATTTAAACTGTATCCTCTAGTTAGTTCTGTGTTTTTATATTTTTAATGTGATATTTTGCTGAATAGATATCAGGTCTCATTTCTCTTTTAACGTAAAGTATTAGTAAGGCATGGTACTTTCTGGAGTACGGCATTCTGTTTTGCTCTTAAAAATTATATCGAATTTTTCTGCATGTGGATTCTGACTCTTTTGGATACAACATTTTGCAGGAGGTCAGTCTTCCTTAGCCGATTATTGTACATATTTTGTTGCCTATTCTGATGGGTCTTGTACGGAGATTACTAGCGCACGGGCGCCTGATAGAATGTTGGGAGAAGTGAGAGGGAGTGACTCCAGGTGAATGCTGGTCACATTCCTCATTGGATGTTAATAATGTCTATATGACATATTGCTCATATCACTTGGTTTATGTATAGGTGTATGGCATCATCTCTAGTGCGCACTGGATTTGTTCGTGGTTCCATAACTCAAGGGAATGGTTGTTATCAGCATAGATGTCTAAATAGTTCGTTAGAGGTATGCCTTCATATTCCTTGACATAAATTTTCTATGCATTTCGGTTTTTGTGCTTTCTTTTTTCTGGCATTTGAGAGTGATTTATGATACAGGATCCCAGTCTTATTTCAGTAAATCTAAATTGGTTATATCTCGATCAATTGATATGATCACATCCCTGCTTTTATGCCTATCATGATTTTTTTTTAAAAATTTCATTTACATCAAGATATTTTCTTGTCACCTTAGTTAACAGTGACGTTTCTTTTAGATTGCTGTGGATGGAATATGGAAAGTTTGCCCCTCAGCTGGCGGACCAATTCAGTTCCCTGGTTTTAATGGTGAGTATGCTTGTTTATTTTCTTCAAGATATATCATCATCATGTTGTCGTACGATATCTCCTGAAACTTTTATGCTTTTTGTTTTTAGGTGAATTGATTTGTCCAGCTTACCATGAACTCTGCAGTACAGCCCATGTTTCTGTGCATGGCCAGTGTCCGAATTCATGTAGTTTTAATGGAGATTGCATTGAGGGGAAGTGCCGTTGTTTCCTTGGGTTTCATGGCCACGACTGCAGTAAACGTAAAGCTTGCGCATCCTTCTCACAAAACATTTTTACATGCCGAAGTTCTAAATCTTTTTTTAACCTGGGACTTATGAGTTAGTTATGCTTCTCTCCATGCAGGGTCTTGCCCTAACAATTGCAATAGCCGTGGAAAATGCAAGTCTAATGGTGTTTGTGTTTGTGAAAATGGTTTTACTGGCATTGATTGCTCTACTGGTAAGTTCCATATTTGTTCCCATTATGCATCAAGAATCATCGATATCACATATTTTTCTGTATAGCAGAGTACTAAAGTTACTCGTTGTTTGGCTTTTATGGATTAAATTCTCTCCTGACAATAACATTCTGCTTATCATACAGCTGTGTGCGATGAACAGTGCAGTCTTCATGGAGGAGTGTGTGATAATGGGGTCTGCGAGTTTCGTTGCTCTGATTACGCAGGTTACACATGTCAGAACAGCACTAATCTACTTTCGAGTCTATCAGTGTGCAAAGATGTGCTGCTGAGAGATATATCGGGGCAACATTGTGCCCCGCGTGAACCTAGCATACTGCAGCAGCTCGAGGAAGTCGTGGTTATGCCCAACTACAATAGGCTCTTTCCGGGCGGTGCCCGCAAGATATTTAACATTTTCGGTAGCAGCTACTGTGATGAAGCTGCGAAAAGACTAGCGTGTTGGGTAAAAGCTTTAATCCATCTCAAAATCTTTCGTACTTGTACATAAAATCGTCTTTTTTTTTTTTTTTGCTGGAGCCGTGTGATGATAGTATCCCTGGGAATCGTTGCCAGATATCGATCCAGAAATGCGATAACGACGGAGACGACAGGTTACGGGTGTGCCATTCAGCGTGTCAGTCCTACAACAATGCGTGTGGGGCCTCTTTGGACTGCTCGGACCAAACCCTTTTCAGCAGACCTGAGGAAAGCGACGGTGAATGCACGGGCTCGGGCGAGGTAAGGTCGCATTGGTTCAGCCGCTTGTGGAGTAGAGTCTTAGCGAGTAACAACGAGGAAAATTCGGGGAATGAAATGTCTGTAACAACATAGGAAGAAAAAAACTGTAGTTAAGCTCTCTCAGTTCAGTTCTGGTGTGTTTTGTTGTTTTGTAAGGGTTTTTTTTTTTACGGGTAAGGTGTAATTTGTTCTAGGGCTTTCTGAGGGAAGGCGAGCAGGCAACTCAAGTGCCCTGCCTTGCAAGCTAAGTTAGGGTCTTCTTCTATTTACCTCATAATAGGAAATTAGAGTAAAAAAGCATGTTTGGTTATGAGAGAATTGCGTGTGCATTCGAAATATATGAAGGGGGGGAAAAGGAATTGTAGGCCGAAGGCCCGTCAAGTAAAAAAAAAATGAAATGTTTTTGGTGGATTATGACTACGAATTAAAAAAAAATGATTTTAGGATGAAACAAATAAATAATATTCATTAAAATTCAAGAAACTCATTGTCTATTTCTACTCGCTGTATATATAAATTTCTCAATTTCTCTTTTTTTCCTACAACCCACAAATAAAATAAATCTCACGACCCGTTTGGGCAAAAGCTGATCAAATAATCCGACCCGGAACAAGTGAAAGTACTCGTGGCGTCGTCGTACGCGTAGCTGTACGCGCCGGGACACGCCGCCTTAAAGATCGCCGAGAACTGCGTCGGAGGACAAGTCTCCGGCGTCGCATGGTCGCCGGTGCAGCAAAACTCCGGCGACTCG